AAAAAAAAAAAAAAAAAAAAAAGGAGGGGGTTTATATCTGTATTAGTGCAACTGAGGAAATGATTTTTTTTATTTAATTAATTTAAATAGCTACATGCTACCATTCGTTCAGAATATTCAGAAAACAGTATTTCAATTTTATTTGTATATAAATAGATAGATAACAACAAAAACAATGTCCAATCACACTTGGAAAGTCCTTTATATTTTGCAAAGTTCTTCACTTTATAATCTGATCAAATACAAGGTAAGAGAATTTTAGAAGTGGAAGCACAAATTTAGCTAAAGTGACTAATTTTACAAATGAGAATAATGAAGTTGAACAAAGGCTAATGCACAGTCCAAGGTCATAAAGCAAGCAAGGAGCACAGTTAAGAGTAGCTTGGGGGCCAGGATGTAGCTCAGTGGCACCATGCCTGCCAGACAAGCACAAGATCCTTAGTTTGATCCTGTCCCAAAAAAGAGTAGCACCTAAAAAAGGGTCAAAGACCTAAATGTAAGAACTAAAAATATAAAACTCTTAGAAGAATGAGAGGAAAATAGAAATAAGGTTTCATAACCTTAGATTTAACAATGATTTCTTAGATATAATACCAATAGTACAAACGACCAAAGGAAAGAAAAACAAATACATTGTATTTATCTAAACAAAAACTTTTCTGTTTTAAGATACCATCAAGAAAGTGAAAAGACAACCCAAGAGAAAATATTTTCAAATCATACATTTAATAGGGGAATTTTTGTATAAAACATATAAAGAAACTTTATAGCTTAATAATATAAAGACAATCCAATTAAAAAAGAGTAAAGGGGCAGGGACTGTAGCTCAGTGGTGCCACACCTGCCTGGCAAGTGCAAAGTCCTCAGTTTGATCCTCAGAAAAAAATTTAAAAAAAATAAAAACGAGTAAAGGGTGAACAGATGGTTCTCCTAAGAGCATATACAAATGGCAAATAAGCACACGGGAAGATGTAAATCAAAACTATAAGATACCACTTAACATCTATTAAGATGGCTATAGTTTTTTTTAAAAGATAAGTAAATAACAAGTCTATTTCATCCTTGATATTTTTTGTTTGTCCATTTTATTAGTACATGTTTGCAGTACTTGATATTCTTTCTTAAACATAGGCTGGATAAGGGCATTACTTTCTGCAAAAGCCTTGGAAATAAAATGTAATCTCCTTTACATGATAATACAAGATCCTTTTTGCTCTATCTGGGATGAGATGTGGGAATTTAAGAATTTAAGTTCACAAGGAGATTTTGATATCCAAATGATTCAAGGACCATTGCCTTAAACTTTTCCATCCAGATATAATTTCTCTCATATAAGCTTGCTAGAGGAACTGAACAGAACAACAAAAAACCCCGCTTACATTTTATCTTGGAAGGGGGAAGTAAAAAGACAGAATGTTTTAAAATGAAACACACTCTATATCAGAGGGCAATAAATACTACAAAGAGATCAATTGAGCATGAGTGGGAGGTGCCAAGGACAGGGGTTGCAATCTTATTTATTTTTATTTTATTTTGATTGATTGATTGAGACAATGATTTTCTTTGTATTCCAGTCTGTCCTTGAACTCAGTTATGTAGCCCAGGCTGGCCTCAGACTTACTACTACAATCCTCCTGCCTTAGCCTCTTGAGTGCTGGGGTTACAGGAATATGTCTGCACTCCCTGTTTAAAGGTCCCAATGATTTAAAAAAGTGTCACTGATTGACATCTGAGCAGGGACTTGAATAAATTGAAGGAGCAAGCCCCATAGGATTCTGACAAGCTGTCCAAGGAGAAAAAACACCAAATAAAATTGCCCAGGAGTGGCGTTTTATTATTTGAGAAGTTAAGCTGTTTTGTGAAATAAGAGAAAAGGAAAAATAGGAAGTTAAGATCAGACAAGTAATAAAGGCAAAATCATGCAGGGCCTTGAAAGCCAATATAGAGACTTTGTTTTTATTCTAATAATTTGGTGTAATGGTTCATTTTAGGTATAAATTTGACCTTATTAAAGAATGCTAGAAATCTGATAAAGCATTATTTTGAGTGAATCTGTAAAGGTAGTGTACAGAAAAGATTAGTGTTTGCATCTGAGTGGACTAAGAGGAGAATATCCAACCTCAGTACCATTCAATCGGCCTACTAGGAGAGAGTGAATACAGAAAGTAAACATGTCTCTTCTCTAAGACCAGTCTTCTGGGGCCTTCAACATCAGAACTATAGGCTCACAGTTCTTTGGAGTACAGGTTTAAACACTACCAGCTTCCCTGGATCAAAGGCTTTTGGCCTTGGACTGAGTTAATGTACCTGTATCCCAGGATCCCACCTTGCACAATGTCTGTTGTGTGCTCCTTAGCTATCATAATTATGTAAACCAATTCCCCTAATAAATTCCTTCTCATCTATCTATCTATCTATCTATGTATGTTCAGTTTCTCTGGAGAACCCTTACTACTATAGATAGAAGTCAGGAGAGTGCTCTGAGAAAAAGTGTCATGATTTGACTTCACTTAAGATTACTGACTAATTAGGTGGCAGGAAGGTAAGAGGAGAAGTAGGTCATTTAGGACAGTATTGAAATAGTCTAGATAAAAGATGATGGTGATTGACAGCCAAGGATTTAGCTCAGTGGTGGCACTGCCACCTGCCTTGTAAGCACAAGGTACTGAGTTCTATCCCCAGTACAAAAAAAAAAAGATGATGGTGGTTGAATGAGTGTGGAAGTAGTGATTATAGTGGTGGGAAGTAGTCATGTCTTTGATGTATTTTTATGATCAAGCTGACAGAAATTGCTAATGAATTGAATACAGGATTTGCGAGGGAGAAAGACGTCAAAGATGACTCCAAGGCTGATTTGAGAAACTGGAATGATAAAAATGTCTTTACTGGGATGAGAACTATGTGAGGAGCAGGTCTGCAGTAAATAATGGAACTTTCATTTGGCCTTAGCTACAGATGCTCAAGAGTTCTGCTTAGGATAATGCTTGATACATAATAAATGCTGTGTAAAGATTACCCATTAATACCACTATAAATATTATTTCTACCACCAGTGGTTACCACTTACTGAATACCCACTGCTATGATTTAGATCTAAAGTGTTTCCCAAAATATCATATATTCAGATGTGGAGCTTTTGGAAGGTGATTAGATCATGGGAGTGCAATACTCATCAGTTAATCCACTGAATACAGCTATATCTGCTGTTAAGGAGGGGTGGGCCCTGGTCAGGAGAGATAGGTCATTGAGGGTGTGGCCAGGAAGAGTCTATTGTACCTGGTTCCTCTTTTTGAGCTCTGCTTCCTGGCTGCTGTGAGATTAGGTGTTTTCCTCCATCAGGCCCTTCCACCATGCCCTTTCTGCCATAGAGCCAGCCACCTATGGACTGAACCCACTGGAAACTGTGAGACAAATAATAAACCTTTCCTCCTGTACATTGTGGGCCTCAGGTAACTTGTCCCAGTGATGAGAAAGTGACTAATACCTACCACATTACAGGTACTGTTCTAAGAACTTATTAAGTCCCAATATGTCTTACAAGGTCACAATCCCCTTGCACGACTGGTATTACTTTTACTGTATTACAAATAAGTAAATTTAAGTCCACAGAAACTAAGTGACTTGTCCAAGTTTTCATAAGTCAGCTGTAAAGAAAGGTCAATTTCAAATCCACATCTCCTGACTGCAACATTCAGGCTACTTCGACTATACTAGATTCTTCTAGTCTCCCTTGTCTCCCTGCCTAGCCCTGGGTTTTCCTCTGAAATAGCACACCTTCAACCCTCTTTCAACTCAGGGGCCCTTGTGCTCTGCCTGGACACTGATAAATCTCACCATGGAGGCAGTTCACATCCTCCAAATACCTAGCACCCGCTGGGTTCCTGCTGAGCATACATGGGCAGTTACAAGAGAATAAAAGCAGTGTCTGCCTGATTTCTATTCTTGTCAGCTGTCTAGAATCTAAACTACAATATGATACCCCTCCGAGCTGATTTCAGTCTAAAAGCAAGACAAACTTAGGGGTAGCCACTGTGCAAGTCTTGTCCTCCTATCCCTCCAGGGTCAAGTGGAATTGCTTCTACTCCTTGGGACTGAACTTCAGAAAGTCTACTTTACTTTTGCCAGTTTCTCATCTTATTGAGAATAAAATATAAGGTTTTTATAAAAGCCTGTAAGATCTTATATGATTTTTACCTTGCACATCTACCTCTCCTACTATTCCTGTTTCCTGAACGCACCATACATGTTTCTGCTTGAGTCTTTGTGTTTGATCTTTCTCACACCTAAATATTCTTTTCTTTGAATATACAAATAGCATGCTCCCTCATTTCATTCCAGTCTCTGCTCAACTGTCACCTTATTAGAAATGCCTTCTTTAACCAATTTATATAAAATGGTTCCTCCACCCAGTGTTACTGTGCCTTCCCACCTTGCTTTGCTTTCCTAATTGATATTTATCTTACTGTTTTGTTCTATTATAACAGAATATAAGAATATTAAACTGGCACCAAAAAAAAATATGAGACTGGGCAATTCAGAATAGAACTTTCTTTCTCGCAGTTCTAGAGGCTGGGAAGTCTAAGACAGAGGGTCCAGCATCTGGCAAGAAGAGACTTCTTGCTGCCTCACAGCATGATAGAAAAGCAAGAGAGAGAATCCACTCCCGAAAGCCCCTTTTTAAAGGTAAGCTTACTTCTTAAAAACTCACTTATTAAAAATCACTTTCTTAAATGTCTCTCCTCCCATTACTACATTGACAATTAAATCACAATATGAGTTTTGGAGAGGACAAACATTTGTACCACAGCAACACCTATCACCTACGTTTTCTTGCTTATTCTTTCCCTCATTAGAGTAAATTATATAATAAGGATTCTGTTTATTTTTGTCTTATATCTTCAGTACACAGTACTCAGTCTTATATTCTCAGTTACCTCAGTTACCTTAAAATACATAGTAGCTGACTAAACAAAGGAACCATCCTTTACACTTCACCCAAGACAACTCTGACAGAAGCTTTATGTGCTTGGCACTTCTTGGCATGCCCCAGTCAACTAACTGGTTTCACATCCTCCAGTATCTACTTTTCAGAGAAGTCTCTACTGGAAGCTTATCTTGGGTTGAACAAGTGATGAAGAGCCCAGCAGTAGCAGAGTGGGAGAGAGAAAACAGAGATGCTAAAACTTCCCTCTTGATAAAGCTGGCTTTTACTTCCAAGCTTCTGCCCACTACTCCACAAGTAGCTTGCTGCTGCCCTCAAAATACCTAGAATATTTCTTTTAAAACAGCAGCAAAATCTATGATTTTGAAATATTAAGAGGAAAAGCCCATAGATTAAGGATGAATACTTCGAAATACCATTTATACAGTAGATTGCTGGTGCTTAAAATTAGTGTTTTAGTTTACAAAATACTGTGGAATTTTCAGACTATTACTATTTAAAAGTACTTTCTTATTTAAAATGAGATCTTAACTGCTATCTCACTTGATCCTCTGAAATAAGCAATGCAAAGATTATCAATTTCATTTGACAGATAAAGAATCAAAAGGCTTAAAGCTTAATGCCTTTTAGGATGAATACTGCAGGGAAATGAGAAAGACAGTGTCTGCCCAAATGAGGTTATGGCCTAGCCAGAAAAGTTTCAAAGTTAAATAGAAATAAAGATGCCACAATAATACAAGGGGTAAAACTGGGAACAGCCACAGTGCTCATCAAATTCTCTCCCCCAAAACGCAAAATTAAAACTAGACAAAGTGATCAAAAACAACTATTTCAGGCCTCTGATTTAAAAAAAATTGTGTTGGGGATCAAACTTAGGGTCTACCCCATACTAGGCAAGTATTCTACCACTGATCTAGCCCCAATCCCTAAAACAATGTAGTGGTCTTAGCCCACCCCTCTTCCTACACACACACACTGAGGATCAAACCTAGGGATTCCAGTATCCTAGGCAAGTATCCTATCACTGAGATACGCTTGCTACCTTAACTTTTTTCCTTCTTCCTGAAATGGGGTCTTGCTACGTTGCCCATAATGGTCTCAAACTCCTAAGCTCAACTGATCTCTCTACCTTAGCCTTCTAAATAACTGGAACTACAAGCATTCACTTATCTTTGATTTTTTTTTTTTTTAATACAGGTTCTCACTATGTTGCCCAGGCTGACTAAATTCCTTGGCTTAAAGGATCTTCCTACCTCAGCCTAGTAAGTAGCTGGGACTATGAATGTCTGCAACCAGACAGGACTCTGAAAATTAGCCAAAGCTATATACCAAAAATGTTTATTCAAGAAAAACTACTAAACCACATTAAGAACGGTGAGAGTTGGGGCCAGGGATTAAGCTCAGTGATGCCATGCCTGCCCTGAAAGTGCAAGGTCCTGAGTTTGATCCCCAGTATCAGAGGAAGGTTGGGAGAGAAGAATGGTGAGTCTGTAGTATGTTAGCTAGGGCTACCCTTGTTCCCCAGCCCCCAACTCTCTGGGATTAATTCTACCAGGGCAGGCTAGACCGGGCCAAGAGGATCACTGCTACCAGAGTGGGCTGATTTAATTTGAAACTGAGCAGAGAGAATCTCACGCCCAGAGTCATGGTTGAAATCAACAGTGAGACAATCTGGGGAACAATAATCCACAAAGGCCACTGCTGCAGTTACTCTGAGGTTACAATGCTAGTTGGGGCTGCCAACAGATCTGAGATAAGCCAGAGATTTAAAACGCAGTTCTGGGGGACAAAACTGCACAGTGAGTCTTAGTAAGCTTTCATTGATCTCCAGTATTCTGTGAGCTTTATATTCACTAAGGAGACAGTAGAGATAGAGAGAGTCCTCACTATCTAATGACATTGGATGAATTAATGGTAAACTGCCTAAACTTTACACCACAGATCTATCAGTAAAGAGTGAAAGCCTTTCAATTTGAGGGTTTAAGTAGCCCCTGACCAACCACTGCTGGTCACTAATCTATGCCAACCCAAGCTAAGTTTGAAAATTAAAACAAGAATTTTAAGAATATGAGTAGAGTCACACACTGCAAAGGTAATACTCTATGGTAAATCATTTAAATAAGTCACTGAACAATAACAACAAAAACCGGTAACACCACCCTCCTTGCACACATACACGTGTATGCATGTGAGTGGGGGAGGGGTGACTCAAAAGCTGCTACAATATATTATTTTTAAAATATACTCTTCAAGCTAGGTGTGGTGTCACAGGCCTATAATCCCAGCATTTGAGAGGCTGACGCTTGAGGAGTGCCACAAATTCAAGGCAACTGGGGCTACAGAGTGAGTTCAAGACCACCCTGGAACTACATGGCGAGACCTTGTCTCAAAAAAACTAAAACAATTAAATTAAATTAAACCAAATACACATACTATTCAGCAACAAAAAATCATAAAATATGCAAAGAAACAATACAATATGGCCCATTGGTGGGAAATAAAAACAGGAAACAACAGATTTTGCCTCTTAGGAAATCCAAATATTGACATCACCAGATGAAGACTTACAAGGCAGCTACTACAAATCTAAAAAGAACTAAAGAAAACCATATTTAAAGGATTAAAGCAACATACGATGATTCATCAAATATAAAATACCAATAAACAGAAATTATAAAAAGCAAAAAAAATCAAATTGAAATTGTACTCTAAAAAGAAACATTGATCAATATATATTATGCAATCTTAAAACAAAAAGAAAAAAATGAAAAAAAACTCAGAGACCTACAGAATATCCAACATACCAACATACAATGAGACTGCTAAAAAGAGAAGTAGGAAGAAAAAAAGCTCAAAGCTATAAGGCCCTAAATCTCCAAACGTGTGTTAAAAACAACAGAGATTAAACAACTGCTATGGTTTGGATATGATTTGAGCGTTGTCTCTCTATTATGGCTGAGATCCAGAATTAGCCCCCAGACTCTCATGCACTCAGAGGCAGGGCTTTAGGAGGGTGGTTGGATCATGAGTGTGCTGTACTCATGGTTAGATTCATCCACAGATGAGTTCAATGGTTCTGTGTGCTGATGAGATGTTAGGATGTAGGGCCTGGTAGGAAGAGGTGGTTCACTAAGGGCATGGCTCTCCCTATTACTCTCTTCATTCTCTGCTTCCCAATTGCTATGACATGAGTAGCTTTCCTCTGCCCAGGCCTTTCTACCATGCCATTTTTGTCTGGGAGCCAGCAAACCATGAAAAGATTGAGACTCCTGAAACCAAGAGCCAAAATAAACCTCTCATCCCTCTTAATTGTGCACGGTGTCAGGTATTATGTTTGCGTGAGGAAAAAAGTGACCAAGACACTCCCAAAAGTTCATGTGTTAGAAGCTTGGTCTTTAGGGTGGCAGTACTGGGAGGTGACATGGAAAGTTGAGAGGTGGGGCCTCCTGGGAAGTCCTTAGGTCATTGTGGGCATGACCTTGGAAGGGACTGTGAGATTCCAGCATTTCTGGCTCCTGTTTGGCAATGTGATTTCCTGCTCTCACAAATGCTACTACCATTGCCATCTCTATTCCCATACTCCTTTACTTTGGTCTCTTGTTATTAATAATCACCAGTACAAGGGGATGCAGCTGGGGAAAGTGAGGAACTTGTAAGAACCATGCTGTTTGGACTACCAGTTTATAAAAATGTGACTTAAGTAAGACTCTTCAGTTGTAACTAGCCTGCCTCAGATATTTTGCTATGATTTAAAAAAAACAGGGGGCCAGGAACTTAGCTCAGTGGTTCCACCTCCTGCCTTACAAGTGCAACGACCTGAGTTCGATTCCCGGTACCAAAACAAAAACAAAACAAACAAACAAACAAAAACAGAGTTGGGATTTAGCTTAGTGGTTCCGCCGCCTGCCTGACAAGCACAAGATCCCAAGTTTGATCCCCCATACCAAAAAACAGTACAACTATACATCCAAGAAATACAGTGAACCCCCAAGCTGTAAAAAACAAAAGGATTCACACCTATACACATTGTCATAAAACTACTGGACAAAAGAAAACACTAGTAAGATTAACACCTGAGTTCTTATAAAAACTAATGGAGGCCAGAATATGCTGAAAGAAGGGGGAGGGCACAGCACCACCCTGTCAAGCAAGAATTCTAATCCAGCAAACCTGGTAACCAAAAAAAAAAAAAAAAATCTTTATATATAAGGTCAACAATAGTTATATCTTAAATCAGATAAGAGAAAAATACTTATGCCATCACCTTTACTGGTGTTCTTTTTCATGTAGGTTTGAATTATTGTCTAGTATCCCTTCCCTTTCAACCATAGTATTTCTTTAGTAGTTTTGCATTTTTTTGTTTTGTTTTGTTTTGGTACTGGGGATCAGACTGGGAACCTTGTACTTGAGAGGCAGGCAGTGGAACCACTGAGCTAAATCCCTGGCCCCATAAAGATGTAATTCTTTTTTTTTTTTTTTTTTTTTTTTTTTTTTTGGTACCAGGGATCAAATTTGGGTCCTTGTGCTTGCAAGGCAAGCAACAGAACTACTGAGCTAAATCCCTGGCCAAAGATGTAATTCTTAATAACAAGAGTTCAAAGTAAAGAAGTATGGGAAGGGAGCTATTCTGGATCAAATTTTCTATACTTTACTGAAATTAGTTTTGCATCTGAAATATTGTAATGCAATAATAACAAATTAGGATGCATGATTTCCGAAGCAATCA